AGATATTTTGTATGGATATAGAGAAGGAGGTAAATGGAAATGTATTATTGTATAGCAGCTGTCCACGCGGACGCATCGCTCACTCAAGTAGGAGAGAGACAGATGTCGAACGCTGCCGAACGCGGAGGCCGATTGTGTCTCTTTGTCGCTCGTTCCGCGCTCTCGCTTGCACTTCAAGCCTTAAATGGAACGCCTCAGAGCGAGGTAACGCCGCATGAGTCATGTTTTTTCGTGCGTGCTGCCGGCTCCATCGAATTATAAGACGTTGTCACGTCAAAAACAAACGAAAAATATTATATTAAATTTTCAAGCCTTATTTTTTCTTTCCGGTCTTGGGTAATCTATAGAATTTATCACTTTCATACGTTTTCTGTTCTTATCTGGTCAGGTTGAAGTGAAGGATTAAGGCGAAAGGGCCGGAAAGAACACCAGCATATTTGTATTATTTAAAATAATATTTAAAGTAGACTTACTAATTAATAAGTGACTGATAATTATTCTGTACGTAATTTAAAGCGATGTCGACTCCTTCAGGATTACTTGCATAAACGGATGAAAATACTGAAGTAACATCTTGTCTTCGTATTATACCGGTTGAAGAATCTAAAGCGAGAGTCATGTACCTAAAAATAGACGTTTATAATTAACTGATAGATATATAGTTACCGTTTAAACCCCTGGTACAAAAATATGCCAATAATTAAGACGTTTATAATTAACCGAAAGATAAATAGTTCCCCATTAAATCCCCTGGTACAAGAATATGTAAATAATTAAGATAAAATACTGGATTAAAAATTTTTTAATAAATGTAAAACCCTGTGTGTAACATTAAGGGCATATTTTGTAACTTGACAGGACCTCCTAAGAGAGGACGAAACGTTGGTTAGACGTTACATCTAATAAAATTTTTTTTTGATTCGATAAACTACATTAACTGAGGGATTATTTTAGAAATATGCTTTTTAAGGTGTAGTTATCACTTACTCATTGAGTAATGTTTCATTTCTGGAACATCCTAATGCAGTTATGATTAGACTGATTTCTGAAGCAAGGGTTTCTTGTGTTAGTTTATTCCATAAGAAATACCAGTCGCCAGAGTCATTGGAATATCTCAAACCTGTACAGTACACCACACTTCTAACGTCCGGGTTGACACTAAAAAGTTGATGAAAAACTTGTTAGAGTCAATAATTATGGACAAATAACTACAACCGGTGATCACATAAAATATTACCGGGGGGGGGGGGG